CACACTGATTTCAGCAATAATAAAGGCTGAAAGCCGTACTAGTAACACCACAAACCCTACTCTACAGCTACCGGAAGTTTCACCATTAAGTAAACACTACTTCCCTTCGAATCACACACAAACCAGCATAAACCCTAGCATACTGCAATCTGAAAACCCATCATACGATTTTTACCACACCTCTCATGTGTTCCATAACAGAAATTAGGCATAAAAAAAACTCCTTACCTCATCGCTTGAAGGCCAACCACACGAAGGAATGAAACATCACTGCACCACACGCACCAGCCCTACATTAATTAGGGGAGGGCTTAGAAACCACAGCAACCAATCACCAACGACACCACTGGAGGCATAGAAACCTCCAAGGGAAGAGGGCGATCACTCCTTTTCAGCCCTTTTCCTAGTCTCCAACCAACGGCTGAGAAATCCAAGAGAAACCCTAGTTCGAATACGCAGAAAACAGAATTCTAGCAAGTCTGATTTGTTTAATGTCGCTCTGATACCATGTTGAAGTTCGGCCTGCCCTAGAAGTCTGTTTTGTTTGTTAGCTGAAAAGTAAAGTAAATAGCAAGAAGGAAGAGAGGAAAGAAGAAGGAAGAGAGGAAAGAAGAAGGAAGAAAGAGGAAGAATAAGAGAAAAGGTTTGGTTCGAATTAGGAAAAAGTCAACCCTCGTTTCGGCCAGACCTGTTATTATATTATTAATATTATTGAAAAAGACATAAGTGCCCTTATTTAAGTAGGAGGCACTTGAACTAACATAATAGTACACATCAGCATTCTCAACAAGTACAAAGACCGAAATACCCCTTCACTAACACTTCCCAAACAGTCCACAACAAAGCTGCTCTTATGCACTTCCACATAATTCTCCCTCTCTTTGTGTTCCATTCAAAGGTAGATGGATTAAAGCAAGCTAGTATCAGATGGCAGGTTCCACCTACACTCAAACAACATAAAAATCCAATTCCATAAAGCTGTAGCAACGGAGCAAGAAGTCAGTAAGTGGTGACAGTCCTCATTCTGAGTTTTCCAAAGAACACACCAATTAGGGGATAAGCACCATTTTGGTCTCCTCTTTTGCAATTTTGTAAAAATTATTAGTCTTACCATAATAAACTTCCCAACAAAAAACAACAATCTTTGGGGGAATGGGTCTAGTCCAGAATTCTTTTACTGTGAAGTTCTGGGGTGAAAGAAGTRGAGCAAAGGGACTTGAAGAAAGAAGAGCAAGTGAAAATGCCTTTCGGGTTAGGGGTCCAAATTCTTGTATCAGGTTTGAGGGGATCTAAGCAAATAAACTCAAGTGAAAACAACAATTCTGAAACACAAACACTTTCATCATCATGTCACAAGCACTTTCATCATCTATATTGAATTTTGCTTTCCAATATAGACAAAATCATGTCACATGCCTTTTACTTTAAATGAGAGCAGAATATAGCAATTTATTAAAACCTGGCTTTAAGGTTTAACTGTTTTTTGCTCAGGTGGATGGATCACCAATTCAATTGTCTGGATCAACGAATCAACCCGCAATATCATGACAATAAAATAACACAACCTGGTAACCCGGTAAACAGGTAAACAGGTCACTGGTTAATTATCCAAGTCAACAGGTCACTAACCAAATCAACAGTTTTCTGTAATATGGTGATTTAAAGAGTGGCTGGAGATGGAATTGTGACCAGGTCAACAACGGGATGAAAACATCAGAATATAGAACAGTGATACAACATAATGACAAAAGATAGCACATGGTTTCACATTGCAATACTGGAAAGACAGCTAAATTCATTCACATTAGACAACTAGTTAAACTTTAACCATAGTGACTCTACTCAACATTTTGGGGGCCACAAGAGTGTTTTCACATCATAATCAAGATTGTGCTCTGTGCTATCAAATTGTGGAGTAAGTGGACCATCTCTTTATCCGCTGCTCAGTGGCCCTTGGGATGTGGCTTAAGTTTATCAGAGAGGTAAAGATCTCTTGGGCTATCCCTGGATCCTTGAATGTGTTGTTGTCCACTTGGCAGGTCAAAGGGATTAGCAAAGAAGGGAAGGTTAACTGGAGACTGGTGCAAGCTGCTATCACGTGGACACTTTAGTCTGAAAGAAATAATAGAATATTCATGAACAGATTCAGATCTGAGGAAGACCTCCTTAAGGTGGCTAGCTATAAGATTGGTTCCTAGGCATCTGCAACAAAGGACTTGTCTCATCTATTGCCTTTGAGAATCATGTCTCTGTGGAGTGGTGGAATGGTTGACTTGTTTCCTCTCCCCTTGGAGGAGGCAGCTGCTTGTGCCTTCCCTGGGGTTTGTTGTAACCAGTCTTCTACTATTTAATAAAAGTATTTTACCTTTTTCAAAAAAGAAAAAATTGTAATGTATCTTCGTCAGAAAAAATTTTCCCAACTAGTAATTAAAGAAAAAGACAAAAAAAAGTACCTTTTGAAGACCATTTGGGCTCAGTTGGAGATTCTATCATTGTACCATCACCACCAGCAACACAGATGCGTTTGCAAACACCCCTTTATGCAGGAATAAGTGTGTGAGCTCATAACACAAATTGGTAGAAGAAAATGACTCAGTAATAGACAATAGAAAATGTAGAAGTGTGCTAAAGTTGGTAAAATGGAAGAAAATGAAAAAAAAAATGCACAACAGTAAGAGGGAAAAATGACTTAGTAAGTGTGCTTACATTATCAATCTAAGCACAAAACAGTAAAAGGGAAAATGCATCTTAAATATCAATACTGAAAAAAAAAAGAAAAGGAAAGGATTGTAGAAGTGTGCTAAGTTGGTATTAGAAAAATGTGCATAACAAAAATTCAGTAACATCATCTCATTTGACCAAGACTTGAAAAGTCCAGTACCTCAGGCAGTTACTAGAAAAGGGCCATTGAGAAGAAGGAACTTCATACTATAAAAAAAGGTAGTTAAGAACTAATAACCATACAATATCCTGGGAAAGCTCTCCCAAAACTTTACCTCAAAAAGTATTACCAAAAGAAAGGAAAAAAGAGATAGAAATCCAGACAAGCAGTTATGATTCTGCTTGTGAGTACGAGGTGTACAAACACATATGCATGTGTATGAGGGGGGAGGGTAAGTGTGACTATGTATCTCTGTATCATAAGAGAAAGAAAGAGAAGAGGATGATATGTTTAAGAGAACAAGGGAGTGGGGGGAAGTAGAAAGTATTAGCAACAATAAAGAAGGGAAAAAAAAGAGAGGAGAGAAGAGAATGAGGGCCAAAAAGATAGGCTGCCAGCGCCTCTATTAGTATTTATAGTAGGGCAACAGTACAATAAAAAAAAGAAAAAAGAGGATAAAATGACATTAATGCCCCTGCAGCATATATAGTGATAAATACACAACAGAAAGGATGTGGAGTAGGTCATATTAAAAAGATCTCTGATAGATTTACTAGGGAGTGGAGAAGGGGAATTGTAGGAATAAGTATATTTATTGTGGAGAGAAATGTGATAGGATAGATTAAACTTTCCTACAAATTTCTCCAGGTATTCCTTATCATTTTGTCTGATAGGATTTTTTTTCCTGATCAGTAACTGAAACTTTATTACTTAAAAACAGAATTTTACATGGGTAATGTGCAAATACTTAATAAGTTTATGCAGAAAGAAATTTTGCAACACCCAAGTCCTGGTAGGTTAGACTCCTAATCCTAGCTACCTTGCCCACCACCCTTTTACATATATCCATTCTCCCAAAAGGACTGACCCCGAAAATAGCTGACTTCTTTGGACTCCTTACCCAGCAAAACCATCAGCTAGGCAGTTGGCAGACCTGTTTACCCAATTGAAGTTAATTATTAATTATTTGTCAACAGTTTCTAATGCTATAGGTTTTTGAATAATGATCTTTGAATATCATTGGAGAAAGTCTTAGATGGCCTAGATTCCATACATTGACTAAATGAGAGATAGATATCCACCAATGCCAATAATATATTCTAGGTGCAATATATGCGAGAGTGAGTTTTTTTTCTTCATTTGTCAATTTAATATGTGAATCATTATTGAGTCTACATGTACCTCATTCATTGACTCTATCCTCTTTGATATTTCAATAAAAGTATAAAACATGAGTTTAATAACAAGTCAAACCTATGGATGTACTCCCCATTTCTTTTTCTTTTTAAGTTTGTTACTGTTATTAATTAGTTATCCTTAGTTTATGGATCTAGAAACAACATAGGAATAGAACAAAGTATGCTTTGCTTTAAATGAAGTGAAAAAGAAGAAACGTTTCCATATTCCTCAATTGGTAAAATTAGAAACAGTTAGATCCCTTGGATGAATATGTTAAAGAACCACTCCAAGTAATAAATATTTAGATTTCAAGATGAAAGAACTACCCTTAGATCAAATATTTCTTTATTTTTTTAGATTATAAAAAATAAAATAGACATTATTAAACTAAGGGCCTGTTCGTTTGTTCTGAAGTCTGACATCTGAAAGTGCAACAATTACAGTAAGAGGTATATTGGTATTGGTGAACTTTCCTTTCCTCTGAACTCTGAATGCAGAGAGTGTTGTTCTGAACTCTGAATTCTGAAAATTATCAAATATCCATTTTGATCCCATATGTGAGAGTTTTTGTTTGCCTTTTTGGGGGTATCATTGGAAAACAAAAAGTTATATGATTGCACTTTAAGAAATAAGAGATAAGAGGTAACAAACACCCATTTTTCTCTTAAAGTTAAAAGATTCCTCTTAAGAGATAAGAGTTAAGAGGAAATGAAGAGGCCCTAAATTATCCATTTTGTGGATTTATATACTAGTTTCTTTTTATTATTTTCTTATTTGTTAGGGTTCAATCAACACACATGTTGGTGTGTATGYTGTCTTGAATGCTTGAAAACTTCTAAACCTGAACTGATAGGGCAAGGAATAACTTAAAACTTTGTCCATTCAACAGGGAAAACCTTTCTTTTCTTCTTCTCCTAAGACATAGGTTTTCAGACCCTGTGTTTTCTGAATTTTCTTTTTCTTTCTTCTTTTTTATTCTCATGAATATGTTGATTTTCTATGTTTAACATAAAGTTCATGCATTTATTACGAAGATTATAGATAATTACTAGTGAAATATGGTTGCTAGCTGATAATGGAACCTAGAGAATTACCCTCAGATTAACAAAAAATCACCTAGACACCTGCCTACATGACAAGGCACCCCATGGCACTTAGCCAACCTTGGCTCCTTGAAAACCTGGCCCTCCTTATGTGATAATTCCTTTTTTATGTGTAATAATGACTATGTTACAGTCCCAGCTACCATGCAATGGAGAACCAAATAAAATCAAGTTAATTATAATTTTATTTATTTTTATTATTTATAAACACCATGATGTTAGAGAACAATATTCATGCAAGGCCTTTGGAATGACACTTAAGAATTGAAACTTAAGAGTAATTACCACAGATCTCCTAATTACAGAGAAATCAGATTATTCTCATTCATGGGGTACAAGATTGCAAATATAATTCTTAGAAGGAAGAAAAATACTGTGCAAATAAAAACCAGCTTCAAGCAGGCATCCTACTAACCCATCCTGAGAAATATAGCCGACCCAAAGTTCTGCTTTGTCCCAATGCATGTTAGGGTGGCTCCATTCAATCCATGCCATGCGCTTTCCTTCTTGGTCCATGCGTGGGAAGGCATAGAAATCATTGCCACCAACTAAACCCTTTGGTTCTAAAGCCACAGATCCAAGGAAAAGCATAATCCTTGTTTTATTATTATAAAATCAACTGATCAAAAAGGCACCTTCTAGAAATTCTAATTCTTCAAAAAAACAAAAAAAAAATGGTACTAGTAGTTCATAGTTCAACTTGAAATGTTTACCTTGGATATTACCATTTAGGTCTATGGATACAATTGTTGTAGTTGGATTTGTGCTACTTTCACGATGATCTAGAAAAGAAATAAGCAATAGAAAACATGACAAAGAGCATAAAATAAGCCATAAAGAAGCAAAACTACAACATGAATCATGATATCCAGAGAGCTCACCAATTTACCAGCAACATACCTTCCCTTACGGTGACATAACGATTAAAGCGTGAATCAAACACTCCATCTGCATAACGAACCACAGGTCCACCATAATCTGGGGTGAGTGGTACAGGGAAGGAATCTGTAAAGCATCAACAGAAGGTCAGACCATCTTGGCTGCAAATGCAACTATGCAAGAATTAAAACACACAAACAAAATGCAGCCTTCTTTTGAATTTGGTAGATAAGTGGGGTTTTCAGTGTAATAAAACTAAGATGAATCATGTTGCACCAACTATGATCCAGGATTGAATTCCCTTCTAGACATATAATCATAGAAAGGAACTATAGAGAACATTAAATACAATTTGTCCTCCTTAAGTATAAGAACTTAGAGTATCAAATTTTCTTTAACAAATTCCAGCCCTGGAACTTCTTGATAAAAATAAAAAAAGGGATCCAAAGCCCATTGATACCAGTTGAGGGTGATTCTTAGGTTATTATTTTGTTTATAAATTCTTAAGTTATTAATATTGGGCCTATGGGAGGCTAGTTTCTTCGACAGCTGCTGTAAAAGGTCTCCAAAGATGGGCACTTGGGCTGCATCTAGGTTCTTGTAGTTTTTTTGAGTTGTAATGCTGTTCTTAGGCCCTGATTTAGGATCTGTTGATCTGATTAGGGTGATTTGTAATCTTTGTCTCCTATTAATAAAATTACATTACCTTTTTCAAAAAAAATATTGGGTGGATGATAAGCAATGCCATTGAGAAGAAGCCACACCCTTCATATCCAGAGCAAACATCTTTTCCCCCTTCTTTTCTGATTGGTACAGAGTGAACATCTTGTTTAGATAAGTCCTAGGCTAGCCCAATTGACTGGGAATGGAGTTGGAACTTGGAAAAGGAAGCAAACTCTTGGAATTCCTATATGAAAAAATAGTTCTTTGAATTTTAAGGAATTTTTTTTTCCATCAATCGTACATGGGTGGGGTCCCCTCTCTTTAGGAATCCCTTTCTTTGTATATTTACTCAATTGATCACTAATCGTTATTATTGCAAAAACAAGCCCAACAGAACTAACCTTGAATGGTTAAAGTAATAACACACCAACTCCTTGGTCAATGAAATTAGAGAGATGAATACCACAAACCTGGAGGACCTATAAGATTCAAGACCTGCTCAAGGTCAGTTGATGATGGAAGCTGAAGCAGTTGTTTCCAATAGTAAGGAATTTCATCAAACCTACATCATTTTTAGCCTTCCCCTAGTCCTTTTAATAGTTTAGTTTCTCATATTTCAATTTTAAAATTTCAATAGAACTTATTAACCACAATGACATTTTTTTCCTAAAAGGAACAAACTTACAGTTCTTATTCCTGATTCTGATTTAGCTTCAGGAACAAGCAGCATTTGGATCCACTAATTGTCAGTAAGTACCGTTTGGACTATTCCACTTTCTTAGCTTAACTACTACAACTGGTGGTGGTTCATGCCAAGGACCATAATGGCTCAAGCTCAACCAAGATCTTGATGCACTTATTAGGCTGCAATACTAGTCTGAGGAGCACTGTCTGACCCAATTAGGCAAATTGACCGGGGGATTACCTTTTCCCATCCAGTCTCACTATGACAGAAAAATGGAAATTGATTTTCACTATATCTCTTAGTTGAGTTGGCATCTACATTTGTATTCTTGGACTCTAGCATTATAATCTATGATACCAGGATACCTGTACACACATAGCATACCAATGTCAGACACAATGTATAGGACATGACACCAGATACTGCATGGACACTTCTAGATACTCTATAGCAATAACACTTTTTAAATATTTAAAATGATATCAATATGTGTGTGTAAAATGATATGTTTTAGCAAATGATACCATAAAAAATCCCTATGTCCAAAAAATTAATTAAATTTGATGGGAAAAAATCTTGAGAAATGACACTTAACTTCAAAAACTACACATAGAAACTTTTTTTTTGGAAACATGACATAAGCATATTATATGGGATACCTGTACCTGTATCTGTGTGTTGAATTTCAGGAAATGGAGAGTGGTATGATTTTATCCTCATTTCTTGTATTTGTGTCCAACTGTCCATGTTGGTCATCCTTCATAGGTTATAATTTGTTTGTTAGAGAAACCCTAACACTTGAATAATATGTGTTTTCCTCTGTCCCCTTGACTAAATCTGCTTATTGGACCAATTGCTAGTATCCCACCAGGCAAGATAATAATGTCTTTGTTAGGAACTGCCTAGCAAGGTCTTAGCCACATCAAGTGACTACCCTGTTGATGTGGCAAAGATCCATTATAAATAGAAATAGTAACTTGGAGTGTCACATGGACCAATCAACTTGCATAAAGGAAAAATAAGAATTATTAAAAAAATTGGGTAATGCCTCTTATATACATGAGCAAGTGATTCAGCATTGCTCTCAAAATCTTACGATTTATGATACAATTCATGATTTGAATCATGAATCCCAAGGGTTTAAATTTGAATCTTATGTCTAAATACTTTTCTGTGAAAATCTTTCTTTTTTTTTTTTGAATCCTACCATTTGATTCATAAATTTTACAATTTATACAAATTTTCAATTCACTATGATTCAAATAAATTAAATTAAGAATTAGTTTTCTACTGTCTATATATATATATAGTTTTGTCAAGGAAGACTTGTTTTAAAGCTCTTACTAGAAAAAGATTTTGTTTACCTTATTTAAGATAAAACATTGAGTCTATTTCTCATCATATGTAGGTTAAAGAGCAATTGTATGTGGATTATTTGATTTTCAAGTCAGACTTCATTATATCATCTTAGGCTTCTGTATAAGTGGTAAATTCTATTGTTTTAGGTACATATATAGTATATATGGATTAGAAATAGGATAACGTCATTTTCCTATATATATTTAGCCTACTAATATATGTGTATTTGATTTTTTGGCAAATTTATAAAATATAGAAATAATCTAGTATTTACATTATATGATTCAATTCGATTTAACTTTCTCTACAATTTATGATACGTTTTCAGAACATTATTTCAGCATAGAATAGTACTTTTGACCATTGATACTGTTTACTTCAACAACCATATAATTTGACCAATAAAGTGAGGTTTTTAACGTCAAGGGCCTCTGGCCACTAAGAACTGGGTCTCTAAATGATGGTTATTACTCCAAGTCCATAAATTATAAGAGTTAAAACATGCACAAGGAAAGTAGCACAAAAAAATGAACACTTCTACTAAGAAAGCAGTAAGAGACAAACCTTTAGATCCAATAAACTGCCTGTACAGCCTTTGGTCCTTGTAATTTGAAAAAACGACAATGTCCCCAGAAACTGCAAATGCTCCACCTCCATACTCTTGAGCCACTGTCCGCACTGCAAACTCTTTAGGTATAATATCAATAGGTTCTTCACCCGATTTCTCTGCTTCCATAACCAGAACTACCCGCCTGAGTGACATGAGGAGAGAGAAGGATGTTCACATTGAAACTTTAACGAAGTTGAATAAAAAAAAAAGTTACAACATATCATGTGGAATCCTCCAAAGAACAATAAAAAAAATACCAATACCACAAACAATACTAATAAAAATTTTAGGGAAATGCAGTTATAACTTACAAGACATCAAGACAAAATATCATAGTTTGATGATAAAAGAAACTCCATAATTATAAATTCAGACACTATACACATAATCAAGTATGGCAATTGCTTGCATGTGCTGGGTAATGGTACATGGAGAAACAGAAGCAGCACAGCCTCGTTAAAAGGTTTCTATCGGAATTTAAGTGCGGAAGTCATCGTATAGGGATTAGGGTTTTAGTGACAATTGCAAAAAAGAACAATAGATAACTGGAACAGGGAGTGGGAACCGGGAACTAAACTTACCCTGATTCAGTAGGACGAGACTCAGCCCAGACAAGGCGACCTTGACCATCGACCGCAATGCCACCCAACCGCTTCTCGGCCCCGGAGACGACGTCGGCGGTAAGGGGAGACTTCCAGGAGCCATAAGGCGCCGTAACCTTCTCTTCAGCTGATGATGATGACGCCATCACCCTCGACCTCGAATTCAAGCTCTGTTGCTGCTGCTGCAGCGGCCCTTTGATCGAGACTGTGCCAATGAATCTAGGAAGATGGTTAAAGTTCAAGCTTAAGCCGGATAGATAAAGAAAAGACGAGCATCCACCCGTGAAACGACTAAAACCAGTTAGGGCCAACAAGGCCATATATGTAGGGATTAATTGATTGATTTAAGCCTTTTAAGGGCATTCATTCAGAATCAGATGGTCCTCTTCTTTAGAAATTAGAATGACCAACAGCACGTAACGTGGCGCGCAATGAATCCTTGGACGCTTCACTTGATCACTTCTTTATTTTAAGCTTTTTAACTGTAGAGTGTAGACTGTAGACTGTAGACACTTCAACACTTTCAATTATATTATTTCTTCTCTCGAGTTCTATTTGCATTCAAGGGCCCTTTSAACTGTCTTGGAGTGGAATTGCTTCCTTTTGGCAATCCCTAACCCTTCCACCAGAACTGTATCCCCTTCATCGGCAGCATATTTATCAGTTAGTCCATSGGTTCTCAAACGTGAAGAATCCATCTGAGCGAATGGATAGGGATGATCTACCGTACTGGCAACTGTAAGGTCGTTGGCTGGTCGTAGCGGGGACTTGGCAAGGGCTACGCACCTACTCCAACCCGACGGCCCCATTGTGCTTGTTAACCCATCTAACTAGGAATGACCCCCCGTATTAAGTACGGGGCCACTAATCTGAATTATTTGAATTTTTTTAAATAATTTATAATAGAAATTTAGGTTAATTTTGTTATTTTATTTTAATAGATTTTTATTTTATTTAAGAGATTTATCATATTTTATCTAGAAGAATGGAACCGCACCATTTGTTATTTCATTTGAGACTCATAATTATTGAATCATTTTTTAATTAATCATATTTAATTATTTAACCATTTCTCCTTTTATCAATTTTTTTAATTTTTAAACATTTTATTAATTGTTCAATTATTTTCTTATTGAATTAGTCAAGTTTAATTACTTGATCAACTTTTTATTTGAATAAATTAAATTATTCAAATATTCAATTATTCTTAGTCGAGTCGTTGCTTGATTATTAATTAGCAATTCATTAGTGATTAAATATTATTATTATTTATTATAATATATATTAATTTTTATTTTTACTAATTACTAATCTGACATTATATTTGTAAATTATTATTATTAATTAATAATATTATCATTTGTTTAGAATAATAAAAAATTAGTATTATGTATTATTGTTATTACTATTATTATTATTTTGTAATAATAATAATATTATTATTATTTATGTTAATATTGTTTTTCATAGTAAATGTTATTATTACTGAAAATTCACTCCAAATCAAAATTGTTTCCAACTGCCTTAGAATTGTATTTACTTAATAAATAAATAATAATTTATTTATTTATTTATTAATTATAAGTTTGAATTCATGAATTTTAATTAATGACTATTATTATTATTCTATTTATTAATTATTATTTTGAAATCATTACTTTTAACAGGGCACAACTATTGCTACTTTACTACTTGTTATGACCCTCTTGGAAATCGGCGATATCCAAAAGTCACCGTTTTGGTGGTCTACTAAGACCGGTTTGCAGTAATTGTGTGAATAAAAGGATCGATTGTCTATTTGCAGTAACAGTATGAATGTTTGCACTAATAGTATGAATAAAGAGTCATCGTCGGTTTGCACAAACAGTACTATGTTTTAAATATTGCACTAACAATAACAGTAAAAGTTGTCGTCAATTCGTAAAAAAACCACATAAAATAAATTTAAGGTAAAGTGAGATTAAATATTGCACTAACTAAATGAAATTGCAAAGACTGTAGAGAAGACACTCCAGAGACTATAGATATCGCAACTATGAAAAATTGCACAACTAAAACAGAATTGGTCCAAAGATTGTAGAAACTGCAGAAAAGTATAAATATTTTAGATTAGAAGAAAAATGATGAGGAAGAATGCTAGGTTTAGTTGATACCTGAAAGATTGTAGTTTGATGCATATACACTGAGAGATTGATTGATATGTTTGAGAAGAAAAATTGCAGTTTGGTGCAATTCAGAGGGAGAATAAATTGACTAAAATTGATTGAGAACGCAGATGTGAGTATTTGTTTCCTAAAAGTAAGAATGAATTAAAATTCTATTTCCTGAAAAAAGTGGCCAGTTGAATCTGAATTCTATTTCCCGTAAAAATGGGAAAGTGGGCAATTAAATTAAAATTCTATTTTCTATAAAAATGGGGTGCCACATGTGTGAATGAGGGGAGAATGGGAGCTTCCTACTTCTCACGTCTTTGTAAAAGAGACTTACAATGCCACGTCTTTGAATGCAATAGCAGCAACTTCTCATAAGCTTGCAACGATTCTGCCTTCTATAGAGGAGCGAGTAGGCCACATGTCTGCATGGTTGTGGGTTGTGGGCTTGAACAATCACTTCCTAGAAATTGTTCATGTTTAATTTTCAAGAAAATTGAGAAGGTCACGTGTGTAAATGGTGGGGGGATATAACTTGAAGACCTTCCTAATTTCTTAAATTACTCTTTTGATTTAACTAATTGACTAAGTCTACCTTTATTGTTTACATGTTGCTTTAGAGTACCCTAAGTTTTCTGACAATTGTCTAAAACCTCCCTTACCATAACTTTCCATCACATGTGACTGATATATTTTACAAAAATTCCTAAAATACCCTTTTATCTAAGTCCACTCTATCTTGTCTCTGATGAAGATGCCAAAACAATTACATCTTGGGGTTGGGGTGGAGCATCGATTTCATCTTCTTGGGGAGCGACAATGACCCCATTCTTGACATTGATTTCAAGAAAAAGTTTGTAGCTGTTGTAGAATGCATATGAAGCATGGTTTTGAAGGGCATTTGAATTGTAACAGCTTCCCGTAGGTTGGATTGCCGAACAGTCTACACCTCTAATTCCACAAGCATTACCTTTGGCCTTGGTGTTGTTTCCTATAGATCTCATAATCTTCTCAAAAAATTGCAGTAGGAACAACAAAGCTACCAACCGTTTTCAATCACCAAGCGGACAAAGTTATCTCCCATACTTTGCTCTTCATTAATGACAGTCTGCATTTTTTTGGTAACAAAACAAATACTACAGATATTTTTCTATTTTCCCGCTTGTGATTTTCAAGTACAATGTATCAATACAGTAGAAATCAAAATTTTGTTTTGGAACATCAAAAAATGTCATTTTACTTCATTAATTAAAACTACCAACAGGTCAAGAAAAGCTAGGGATTTAATATAAATTTCCTTGCGTACCTAACCTCCAACCAAACTGATAATTAAAAGCTATTGTTTGGATTTTAACCTCCAAAATGAACTGATAATCAAAAGTTGCTGCTTGGGTTTTTTAATTGGACACGGTAGCCTTTGCAATTAGCGTTGAAATTCTCTGAAAGTGCTTAAAATCTTAATTTATTGATCAACGATAATGCTACTTCGACGTCTGAGTAGGTGAGCCAATTTGTTCATTGCTTCCATTACTTTGGGGTCCTCCTCATCTTCATATCCACTGCCTCTTGTAAAGCAATCAAATAAATGGCTTTTAGTGCTTGGATGTTGAGATCTAGATCATCCATTGGCTCTCGTTCGATTGAAAGTGCACTCCCAAGCTCAAGTGGCATTTTTTATGTGTCATTTCGCTATAAACTTTCTTTCCAGCAACAGGCAGAATGCAGGGCTGGTTAGAGAAATTCTGACATCAAAAACAAAGTTTGTAGTTGCTTCTCAGCTTCAAAACAACAATTGTGAATGGTCCCAGAAACCCCCTTTCTCAGTAATAGCAATCATGAGCATGGAGAATGAAACTGAGACCTTAGACGATAATAGAAATAGGAGGCCATGTTCCAACATAAAACGGAATCAGGTTCCTGTCTCCCTACCTCCGTCCTCTCCTCCCCTGTTTCAGTGATGGTTTCATTTTGAAAATTTGAAGAAGAATAACAGATAAAATAGTCATTTTCATATTCCTGTTAAAAGGAGTTAATGGCAATGGGGTTTTAGACAATTCTCAGAAAACTTAAGGGTGTTTGTTTTGCCATATTTAGATAGTAGCATGATTATCTAAACTGAATAGAAATGTTCAAGGGTGTGGCCCAGAATTGTTTACTTAAAATTAACCCTAACACTTCTTAAAATAAAATTGACCAAATAGAGTGGTTGTTTGTGTCTTATTAGGTGTAAAAATGGTATTTTTATTTTTACTTTCTTTTGATTAAATTTATTCAAATGGATATTAGGATCAAAACTGACATTTTCCACTATCATCTAATGAATTTTGATTAAGTAAATAAGTTGTAAATATTATGGGGTATTTTAATAGTAAATGAAAACTATAGAGTAGATTTAAGTAAACCCATGAAACTATAAGGATATTTTAGTAAATAACCAATATAAAGAATAAATCAGATATCAGAATGGAGATAAACATGATGTATGTGGGCATTTATTTGAAAATTGGTACGCTCATCACTATGTAAGTATTTATTCCAAAATACTATTTGGTAAGACTATTTATTAAATAAATATTTTTTCTGTTTGTACGAGAATCTACCCCCACCCAACCATTTCTTTACTGTCTAGCTTATATTTACCAACCAATTTCTTGTTTTTCAAGATAAATACATTATAATACGTTTATTAAATAAACTGCCACAACGCATACAAATACATGGGCCCATAACCCGCCATATAGCCTAAGTGTTCTTCTACTAATCCGAATTAATCAAACTGGAATGGGTCACGAGACTTTTGGAGTCCATTAACAACCCTTACTGGCCCAGGCGTATTCATTGCAAGCAAAAACCATGCACATGCTATAAAAGCATGAGAATCTAACCAAATATTGGAACTTCTCTCCATGAATTTTACATACGTATACAAATATATTCTCAAATAACTTAAGTAGCTAATCATCTTTCAGACTTTCATCTATCCATATTAATTCACCATTAATTATCTCTTCCTATTCTCATTAACTCCCTTAGATTACCTCTCTTCATTAATCATATTATTAATTCTTTCTCATCCAATAACTCACTCCACTAATTCTCTCTCCTTCCAATTTTTTCCATTAAAACTATTTATTTTTTAATTTTTCTTTTCTCATTGATAAATGAATAATAAACCAAACACACTTTGCTTAAAGGTGATTTCAACCTAACTCAGGTCCAGCCCTGCATCAAGCCCACAAATTTCAAGACTAGTCCTAAGCGTAATACTTAAAGCCAAGTGTGGGCCTAACCCAACCTATAAACAAACAAATGCTTATGTTTGAGTTGGACATAGGGGGCTCTTTTTGCTTCAATTTCACTTAACAAAGCCCATGCACCAATAAGTCCCA